GCGACGCCCACGTGACAAGCCTGTTGCTCAGGTAAGTATATGGTGCACATTTGCTCTTCAACACAGGTTTTTGCCAGGTTTCTCCTATAAAAGTCCGTTCATCGTCTCCTATCGAGTTAGAAGAATCTCCGCCCGATTTTGAAGCACATCTTGAGATGCTACGGACACACGAAAGGTATATCGAAAAAAAAATCAAATTTAGTTCTCATTGCACTCGTTATCATATCTATAATAGTTGTCAAGGTGTGAGGAAAGGGGGGAGGGGAGAGAAGGTGACAGTTTTCAGAGATCTGAAATGGTGACCATTCCGCAAGTCTGGGTTACAATTTTCGCATCTCTTGAGTTCAATGGTAGTTTTTCTTACTGCTCCTACTCAATCTCTCATTCATAAAAACCCATATGCATTTGGCTAATAACAGTATGCGTGGTCGCTTCATAAGCTGACTTCTCACATGTGTTATCTTTCGTCTCTTGTGCAAGTTTTTTTTTTATATTGCAGTGCATCCCATACAATCGCCAATCAGGAACAGCCAAACTCTGTCACTGAAAAGCGTGTCTCAATCTTGGCTGCATGTGGAGAGACTGACATCACACGAGCAAAACCACCAGCTATCCTGCAAGGAGGTTACGCCGGTCAGTTTTGCTTCTTGCTCATAATTAAAAGTTTTTATCGTAAAAGGGGATTTTTCAAAGTAATCCATATTGTTGTGAAAATACGAAGGTTTACAGTCGATTATTCATGTTTGTTATGACATCAGCCTCCAATAATTGTTCATCGCCCTATGCTGATTAAACTAAGTTTTTTTTTCAAGGATTGCGATCGTCTCCTCAAAATACAGCGTCAAAAAGGTTTAACGAAAACCATGTGTCCACGCCGTTGAAGGTAGGAGTATTAATCACGCAAACATGTCCGAACTTGGACCCTTCCAGAAGGTCAAAGTTGAGCTTGTGACATTGGATGACGATGAATGCGATCATTCCGAAAAGGCATCCCCTCAAACTAATACCCCGTCGTTCGCCACTCAGCGTTTTTCTCAATCAACCCAATCGCAACAGGTTAGCAGCTACAGTATTCCTTGTTTTTGGACTTTACATTGGAACTTTTGTTTTCATTTTATGTGGTCGAGGAAAATGACGCCACTGATATTGGTTATAGTATTCAGTGTGTGGTTAACTATTTCTTATATAGATCCAGCAAGTTGATGAAGCACCCTCGATCACAAAGTATCGTGCTTTGAATATCACGCGCATCGCAGATGCTACAAGATTGATGCGCTTCGCAGTTGGTTCATGTCGCAAAGTTGTGCAGGTAATCTTTCATGAA